AAAAATAAAAAATAAATAAAATCAGTGGGGCATGGTGGTCCACACCTATAGTCCCAGCTACTTGGGAGGCTGAGGCAGGAGGATCACCTGAGACCAGGAGTTTGAGGTTGCAGTGAGCTATGATGACACCACTGCACTCTACCATGGGTGACAGAGCGAGACACTGTCTCAAACAAATAAATAAATACATGAAATAAAAAATATTAATATGAATAGAGACAGAAAAAAAGCTGATAAAAAGTTCTTTTGTATGATAATACTCCATTTAAAATTTGAACATTAAGGTAGCATAAAAAATAAACACAATTGGGCACTATTATCATATCCTGATAAATAATGATATCTAGATATCTTAGCTCTATATTATAAAACTATTAATAACGAGATCTTGAATTTTTATAGCAAATGCAAAGGCCTTTAAAGAAATCAAAGTGTTTTTCTATTCTTAATGTTAATATTCTCGCTATTATGTTTACCATTTTTCATTAGGAAAAACCGAAGTCACAGAACTTAGGTGACTTGCCCAAGATCCTATTACAAACTGGCATGGACTCAACTGGCATCCCAGTCTCTGACTATTTGGCTCCATTCTTTGGATCCCACTGCCTGTGATTTTCATCAGTGTGCACACCTCTTATGGTCCCTTTGCACCTCACCCTTCCATGTCCACTTCCCACTACATGATGGGCTCCTTGATGGCAGGGTAACCCTTGCCTCCATCAGCATATCCACAGGGCTGTGCACAGTGCTTGGCACACAGTGGACTCTCTATATGTTCAAGGGATGAGAAGCCCTTAAGCTGTATCATGACAGTATATACCCCTATTGATTCCCCAAAGCCCACCATGACTCAGCAAAGGTGTTGATTCAGCGAAGTCCCTTTGGAGGGCTCCAAATGACCTGTAAGAAGTGGATCATCACATCACATAGGAAATAACCTTGCAAAATAATCAAAGAGTAGTTCTCTTGATTACCAACCTCTAACCTTCTATGTAAACCCCTTATTTTGGTCCTAACCAGTGTTTTCAAATGGTCCCAACAAGCTTTCCCCAAATAAAATTGCACTTGTCTTAAATCCCATTCCACTGGAGACATTCAAAGTAAAAGGCCAGCTAATCTTACAATGTTTTAATGTTAATCATTGTAAGTAAATTTTTAAAAGGATATTCTAGGAAAACATTGCATACACACACAAAAAAATTTTTAAAATGTGAATTTTAGGATCAATGAAAGAGATATTTTTGGATAGACTGAATATTTGCTGCTTCTCTAAAAATATCAGTTACCCATTCCATCTACAACAAAACATACTTGACAAGACTATATTTGAGTACTTGCACTTTTGAATTAATAAAGTAAATTACTTCCAGTAATTTAAGGAAGGCATATATCTCAAGATGTCAAGGAAGTAAATTCTGGTACATATGCCCTGACAACAGCATCTGGCTGTAGTTCTGTGAGAAAGATGCCAGAGTTCCTGGGATGGGTTATAAATTCCCTTAACCTGTTCAGCTATTGATGGTTGTCCTGCCTCAGTGCCAATACTCCCTGTTATGCCTATTAGAAGATAGTCATTTTTTGCTGGGCATGGTGGCTCACGCCTGTAATCCTAGCACTTTGGGAGGCTGAGGCAGGGGGATTGTTTGAGCTCAGGAGTTGGAGACCAGCCTGAGAAAGAGCGAGACCCTGTCTCTACTAATAAAATAGAAGGAAATTAGCTGGACAACTAAAAATATACATATAAAAAATTAGCCGGGCATGGTGGCGCATGCCTG